GTGCGCAAACATAGTTGCAATGGAAATGCTCAAAAATCGCAAAAGTGCACAAGACCAGGCTCAGTACCATGATCAACGCACAATCCAATGCAAGGCATCCGCTCTTTGAGATACATATCATGATGACATGTGGATGTTCACCCTGTGCACAATGCATCTTGTCTCTACGTTCACGTCTGAGCCCCGGAAAGAGGTAAAGAGGTAAACTATGCTTGTCGCTGCAGAGTTGCACAATCCACTGCAAAGCATTTGCTCTCTGACTTCCAAACTGAGAACACCACTCATGAGTTTGACATGACAAAGAACCACTGTCGCAGAGACCTGCAAACTGAAGGCTGAACGCATCAACAAAAAACTAGTTTAACAAAGCTCGGTAACAAAAAACTCAGCAGCTCGGCAACACCATCTTACATCATCTCGCAATGCCTTGTTTCATCTTGCATCATCCTGGACTTCCAAACTGAGAACACAATTCGTGAGTTTGACACTTGGGATGGGCATCATTGTCGAACACCATGATGCTGTAAATTACATGCATCACACCGTTCTCGAAGGAAACATCCACAAAGGTACAACGAACCCAACAGCTTGGTAACTTCTACAACTTCATGCACTAACCTGCTACACACTAGCACAATTCAATGCAAAGAATGTGTTCTTCGAAGCCCGAGACCACGACTCCGGCGTTTGACAAGCAAACATCATTGTCGCATAGACATGCAAACTGAACAGTGAAGTTCACTATGAACATCTCAATTCCCACACAGATTATCACACCAAACGAACCAAGATCCGCACGTCCTAGCACGGATACACTAGCAAGCATTTTCACCCTCAATCTCTAACAGTTCCATGTCGTGCGGTAAAAGTACACACAAAATCTTTTACACACAAACGCTTTTACACATGATGCTTTTACACAAACACACTTTGACACACAGACGCTTTGACACACAAAAGCCTTTACACACAGACGGTTTTACACACAGACGCTTCTACACGCAGACGCTTTTACACGCAGATGCGTTTTACACACGCACACACGCTTTCACACACAAACGCTTTTACACACAGACGCGTTGACACACAGACGCTTTTACACACAGACGCTTTTACACACAGACGCTTTTACACACAGACGCTTTTACACGCAAAAGCTTTTACACACAGACGGTTTTACACACAGACGCTTCTACACGCAGACGCTTTTACACGCAGATGCGTTTTACACACGCACACACGCTTTCACACACAAACGCTTTTACACACGCAGACACGCTTTCACACACAAACGCTTTTACACACAGACGCCTTTACACACAGACATTGTTACACAAACGAAAGCGTCCATCGCAATTTTTCCTCAGTTTTTGACGTCCAACGTCCATTTCGTGTGTAAGGGTTACGATTGACAACTCAAAGTCGCAATTTTTCCTCAGTTTTTGACGTCCAACGTCCATTTCGTGCGAAAGGGTTGCGCGCGACCAATAAAAGTTGCATTTTTTCTTCAGTTTTTGACGTCCAACGTCCATTTCGTGCGAAAGGGTTGCGCGCGACCAATAAAAGTTGCAATTTTTCCTCAGTTTTTGACGTCCAACGTCCATTTCGTGCGAAAGGGTTGCGCGCGACCAAGTAAAATCGCAATTTTTCCTCAATTTTTGACGTCCAACGTCCATTTCGTGCGAAGGGTTACTACGAATTTACCAATTAAATCGCAATTTTTTCCTCATTTTTTTTGACGTCCAACGTCCCTTTTCGTGTGTAATGGTTACGATTTGACAAACTCAAGTCGTCAATTTTTCCTCAGTTTTTTGACAAAGTCCAACGTCCATTTCGTGCGAAAGGGTTGCGATTGACCACTCAAAGTCCGCAATTTTTTCCTCAGTTTTTGACGATCGACCCTCATTTCGTGCGAAACGGTTGCTCGGGGGCAAGTAAAATCGCAATTTTTTCCTCAGTTTTTGACGTCCAACGTCCATTTCGTGCGAAAGGGTTGCTTTTTCCGTCAGTTTTTGACGTCCAACGTCGCAATTTTTTACCTAAATGTTTTTTGACGTCCAACGTCCCTTTCGTGCGAAAGGTTGCGCGCGACCAATAAAGTTGCAATTTTCCTCATTTTACGTCCAACGTCCATTTCGTGCGAAAGGGTTGCCGGGGACGCTTCAAAATCGCAATTTTACCTAGGTTTTGGACGTCCAACGTGCATTTCGTGCGAAAGGGTTGCGTTTCGTGGCGCTCCGGCGGCACCGCCCCCGCCTTAAGAGAGAATAGAAGAAGAGCGAGAGGAGATCTGCAGATGTGAAGGTGTGAAGATCTAGATCTGCAGGTGTGAGGGTGTGAAGATCTAGATCTGCAGGTGTGAGGGTGTGATGATGTAGATCTGCAGATGTGAGGGTGTGAAGATCTAGATCTGCAGGTGTGAGGATGTGAAGATCTAGATCTGCAGGTGTGAGGGTGCGAAGATCTAGATCTGCAGGTGTGAGGGTGTGAAGATCTAGATCTGCAGATGTGAGGGTGTGAAGATGTAGATCTGCATCTGGTGTGAAGGTGTGAAGATCTAGATCTGCAGGTGTCAGGGGGTGTGAAGATGTAGATCAGCAGATGTGAGGGTGTGAAGATGTAGATCTGCAGATGTGAAGGTGTGAAGATGTAGATCTGCAGGTGTGAAGATGTGAAGATGTAGATCAGCAGATGTGAAGGTGTGAAGATCTAGATCTGCAGGTGTGAAGGTGTGAAGATCTAGATGTGAAGGTGTGAAGATCTAGATCAGCAGATGTGAAGATGTGAAGATGTAGTATAACGGCTGCTTTTTTACGAAGAACCGTTCGCAGGCGCTCTCGGGAAAAAGTAATGCTAACGTAATCGAACTTACATAAATTGATAGGACATGAAAATCATATCTGTGATTTTAATTAATTGATTGGTCTCAGGGAAATGCTGCACGATGGAGTGTCTGTGAATTTTCTCTTGGTTCAATTCTCGGGAAAAACGGATATGCATGGAGATAGACAAACAACACTCAGCTTGAGATATGCTTGAGATATGTTAGGAACACTCCTCTCGGGCCTATACCCCACATGTCACCTATGAAAAGCTGGGCTGTCGATTTTAGGGGTTGTGGATGGTTGTGGGTTGGTGTTATCCTGCGATGGCTTGTGGAACTGTGTCATGGACAAGAACCCGCTGTGACCGGGTTCAAACAGGTGCCACTTCCTGATATCAAACTTGTGCATCTCGTGCCCCAGTGGCTGGAACTCCCACCCACCCTGCATTGCCCACTGCAGGGGCCAGTGCAAGGAGGCCGGATCCAACCTGAGATGTGCTCTGGTTGAAACGGAAATGGGTCAAGTGGGGGCCAGTTGATGTTTGACCTCGAGGGACCAACGAACTCTGTGGACAACACCAGAGACAAAGGTACTTGCCACCAAGCCTACATTAAAACATGTTAGTTCAAATATGTTCAAATCAGGATTTTCCTTCACTGTAAAGGACCAAACCACTTCCACATCTTCCACCATATCTGCCAATATCTTGTTGCTAGGAGACTTGAGTGCAGGCATAAGCCAGCGCAGCCCTCACAACGTAGTCAGGCCGCGGTTTCCGCCTCATGAAGGCCTGGGAAGGCTGTCTTGCAAACGCCATGGGATCGGCCAAAATCACCCCAAAAAAACGTGTTCAATGATGTTTAGTGCTTTAAAGAACCAATTTTGCGGATCCTCAGGTGCGACTTACCGCCCAACTTCTCGGCGAGTTGCAGGGGCAATTCCTACTGAGGATCCACTCAAAGAAACTGGCAATCAACGTAACGTCATCGTAACGTCTCCGAACATCAGGAAGTCACACATAACTCATGCTGGATTCATATGGATTCAAACTTATGAACCAGAGCTACTAACACCTACTAACCACTATCACTATCAGCCCCATCACCTCCATGGGTGAAGTCTGGTGCCGTTGCTCCGACGCCATGGCAGATGCGACGGCACGACGTGACTTTTTCCAACTCAAATGGCCGATTTTTTGGCCAGCGGTCAAATATCAAGAAATGCTCCCATTAGATATCCATCAAATATCAAGAAATATCCCCTATGGATATATTCATCAAATATCATTCAAATCATGTTTGTTATGGCAGGGTCTCAGTTTCTCTGATGCTTTTTTCTGTTGAATTTTCGAGCCAGACTCCACTGCGAGGTAGTTTCTTGATGTTTCTTGGGCAGCATGACGGCAGGGTACCCCAAACATATCGAAACATGACAAGCGCCTGTGGCTTCGCCGGTCTTCATGCCATTGATATGAACTCCTCTTGAGAGGAACATCCACCAGCTGTTTTGGTTTGCCCAGGTGTTTAGCATTGTAAGGGCCCTCATCCCTGAATCTGAATGGCCTTTGCCATATTCAATTTTTATCTACATCATTCTAAATATGCTTCTGAACATGTTTCCTGAACGAATTGCATCAGCTGCTTGAGGAACTTCACCTAAAAACATCGCAATGAAACTAAGAGAAACTAACTCCCAATGACCAGCACGCCATGTCGGACTATGGCCTTGGACACCTTTATCATGACACAGCTGTCTTTGGCTCGTGGCTGTGAAACTGCTGAATTTGGCTTTGAATCAGTGTCAGTCATGGAAAAGCAAGGAAACTCAAACATCAAATGTCTCCAGATTCATCATGATTCATAAACTGAGCTGTTCTGACTCAAGAAATCTCAAGAAGCATCACACGATATGTGTGGTTCCACACGGATGCAACTGGAGAGTGATCTCTTTAAACAGCCCGAAGCACATGGCTTCTTCGCTTGAAAGTTACATGGCTGGGGGCATAAGAGACGTCTGCTGCGCTTGCCAGTGCTAGTGACCCTTGAACGAGCAACAAGTCGCAAATGCCATCCATTCATATGTATCTGAGCCGATTCATGGGGACAGTGTCCCGCCCAAGTTCAAGTAAGTGATAATTCCTGAAGAAAAAATGCAAAAGAATAAGTGAATCAGAATCAGCTAAACCCTTGGGGACATGGCAAGCTGCGCAGCTTATGGTTCCGCCGCTGGCGAATTATGGCTGCTCAGCTGTGCCTCACTTCGGCACCACTTCGGCACCTTGGCGTCTTCCAAGTCTAATCATCTAATCCACTCATTACCCCTTACAAAGCACGAACTTAGAAACCTTGGTGCCTTGGTCTACTCGTGGATCTCACCATATCTCGCCGAACTCCCAGGGCCAAACTGCTCAAGCCCCCAACCTTGAGTCGGGTCCGCGCTAAACATGCGTGGAAGGTCCCGACGCGCTGGGCCCAATCTCCTAAGCTGGCATCAGCTGGTCAATGTGTCCGGTCAAAAATAGATACAATGGAGAGTCTTGCTTTGAGACTAAGCAACCAAAAACTATGAGGGTGTATCTCGCGAATTATTTGAGTCACCTCAAGCAAGCAGGATAGAACTTGATATCAATCGTTTATATATATTCTGTAATGATCTGTAATGTTGATTGTATGATATATCTATATATATATATATTATACCTTAAGCAACCAAAACCTTAAAAAAACAAGGGTTTAGGAAAAAACCCATAAATTTCCCCAAAAACCAGGTTTTCGGGTTTAGCAATTATTTGGGGTTTGGTCGCCTCAGGTGAACAACTGCATCATGCGTGCCTGCAATAGCACATTGCAACAAACTGTCGTTTTTCCGCTGATTCGACCCCATCAGCTGATAATGTACCCCGCATTGCACCATTCTTGATGGGCCTTTGTTAAATATCGGAGGATGACTCTTTCAACCACCGTGCTAGCATGTACCCTTCGGGCAGTTCTGCTAGCCTTGCCTATGAAATCCTCCGACAACTGGGTTGCGTAGATCAACGGGTTGATCACATACGGCTGCCGATGGCCTGCCAAAAAAAGATCAACCAAAAAGGCATGGTGTAACTGATGGTGTTTCGGTACGAACATGTACAGCACCTTCCCTTGTCGGTATGCTTCCTTTGCGAGCTTGTCGTAAGTGGCCAAAAAGTGAAGCCCAAGCTCTCCGAGCTCAATGGCAGTGGCACTAGGAATCCAAGCATCCAGTTCGTACAGCTGTGCAAAGAACGAATTGATGCAACCGCAAGCTTCCTTTTGCAATTGGTAAAGCACGTTCTCCGACAAATCCGCATCTTGATTCCAAGCATTGAGCCATCTCAGAAGCACTGTGGTTGCAGCACCTTTGGACCATATAGCTGAAGGCATCTCATTTGTGCTTGGCCACAAGATAGTTTCCTTGCAAATGTAGCTCAAGTATGCAGTTTGCCCATTGGCCTTGCACCAGTCCAAATAGTTGGATGATAGGCTTTCAAAACGAGCATCTTTGGACCGTCCAGGAAACAGGTCTGACACCAATGCCAGCGTGCTGGCAACAAAAGTTTTGCCAACACCGAGCGTGAAACCATGCCAAATGTCGAACTGAAACATTGCTTCTGGCTTCTGTCTCAAGCACATCAGGCGTGTGAAAGCTGGCACCGACTTGAACCCAGATTCAGTATGCATGGTTGGAAGCCAGAAAGGGTTCCGCGTTCCCAACTGTTCGAAAGGGTAATCACGTTGTCCTGCCCGACACAGGTGGCATATACCTTTCGGTTGCTCTTGCCTTCCAGTCTGCCCCTTGCCTTTCTCACAGTTGTAGTAACTGCGGGCCAATCGGCCACATTTGACCAGGAACTGCCAGTCTCCAGTGACTGCTATGCAAATCATCCAGAAACGTTCTCCAGATCTGGTGTCAACCACTCCATGCCGGCCAACGTCGTCAGCACAATTTGCTCCGAAGTTGAAAATGTCTTGCGCAGATTCATCATCCTTTCGGTAAAGGTGCTTTGGCAAAACGCAGGAAAGCATGTGCGTGGTGTAAACCGACCCAACATAATTGCATTTTTGTTTGATGTAGTGCTGGGAAACACCTTTTGCCTTCGAAGCTCTCAAACCAGGTGCCAATCCCCTGCCAAGGCAGGACTTGAAACTGGTGACAAGGAATGGTTGCTTTTTTCTGCCACGTCCTTCATCGCCATGGTATACTACTGCAGCTGCATTCGACAGTTGTATTGTTCCTGCCCTAGCCAGCGAAAAAACTTCATGCTCCGGCTGTGCTTTTTCAAATTTAGCCCAAAAATCGGACCAAATCGCCTTTTCACGGCTTGGATCAGGCCGAAGTAGACCGCATAGCATGTGCCAGCAGTTCCGATGAAGTAAAAAGTGACACCAGTCTTGTAGCTTCAGTCCTTTTATCCCTTGAGGCTTGTCAGGGCGAATGGGCACCAAATTCAAAGGAAGTCTCAAATTGTATCGGCTAAAGAACCTATGGGCATCCCGCTCTGCATTGCCCTCACTGCACTCCGAGAAGCTCACAAGCCCACCAGAAGCATTTGCTGCAGCTTTGCCAACATCAGCAACAATGTTGCGAGCCGTTCGAACGGCCTGCCTGCTAGCAGGCTCGGATGTGTAGGGCTACCATCGGAGAAGTGAAAGGTTCAGGCTACCACACCTTAAGCGACCAACCCCCCTAAAATTACTTAGTGATACTGAGTGCTTACCCCATACTTAAAACAACATACCCCGAAAATTAAATTTGATAAGCGGCTGTCACTGTGCAATCTATATTGGGGTTTAAATTTCAAATATGGTGGAAGGGTCCCGATGCAAGTTGGCTCAAATATAACTGTCGACTGTGGCTATCAAAACTTTTGGGAAATTCAAGATTTCTCAGAAATCAGAACATGCACTTTCAACCCCTTACTGAAAAACATTATCCCATATTCTCCCCCAATTTGTGGAACAAACAGACTGTGGGGCATTTGCTTTCGGAAATTTAGCTGCGGAACTCCTTGACCGATGTCCGCGGCAAATCCTCGGAGTGTTCTTCCAGCAGGCTTTCCTGGCACGGATTGTGACGGGCATGCCACTTCCTAGTATGAAAACAATCTATAGAAGTTGTGTCGCACACGTCATAGATGATTTTTCCCTGCAACCAACGATTGCTTCGACCCCAAATTGGGCATGGTGAAAACCACGCTCTCTCCACATCTCTCCGCTCTTTGCTCTGCCAGGTCAAAAGAATTGGACCAAATGAAATGCTTACAGTGTGGGCCTAAGATCGGAAATATATATCTCACTCAGAACACCTGGCGCAAATGGAGAATCCATAGCCATGAAAGAGAATGCTTGTAGCACTCAAGCTGCAGGGTTTCCCGCAGTTCTAAGAGTCCAAACAAACGCACAAAAGCGACATTTTTGTCGAGCTGATACAAACAACCTACTTCTTCTTCGAAGCTCTGCTCTTGGCAGCGGTAGGCTTGGGTTTTTTAGATCCTGTGCCAGGGAGGTTCTCACCCGGACGCTTATTGGTGTCGATCTTCTCGAAATACTTCTTGGCATTCCTGTTCAGCACACAAATTTGAAACCGATGAGCTGCTGTTCCAAAAAACCAAAGGGCAATGTGACACCGAAACCGTCGAGGTTGGAACCTCAGCTTGGCTTCCAATGCTGCCGCTCGGCTGCACCTGATGCGTTGCTGGCTCGGGATCCCAAACAGTTTAACATCGGATCCTGTATTGAGAAACAAATCGATAATAGGAAGGGTGCCTCATGGTCGCGGCTCGCATGGCTGGTTCTGCTTTGGCCCAAAACCTCAGCATGCGGAGGGCTCCAAAAACTTTGGAAAAGAAATTGTCAAACTCTACCGATGACCGATCCGGCAACATGAAAATTGCACTTAATAATACCTCAAATCAATCCTTCGTAGGTGGTTCGGCTGGGGGATGCCATAACTTTCCAGGATTACTGGGCTAGAAACGGTTGTCCGTAGCCATCGACTGCACCATGAGCCAGCACCTCATTGAGCTTGTCGTACTCACCATCCAGGACTTTAATCTCATCGGCCACTTCCTGCTCATACCTTGGAAAAAGAACATTAGGTAATGGTTTATGTTTGGAAAGATGATGCTGCAAGAAAAAGTTGGCCCAAATACGATTTGACTTGCGCAGTGCTTTTGAACTTCTCAGAGAGGTCCCGGAGCTGGGATCGAAGTTTCCCACTTTTCTGAAGAACGCTCTCCATGAACTTCGTGAATCGATCTTTGTACTGGCAACAGGTATAATGTTTTGGTGACCACAGTCCCTTTTGGATTCGGTGAAGTAATGATGTTTGCATTGGTTTCCCTTGGTCATGTTAACTTATGAATACCCCACCTCCGAAGTTGCTTCGGCCACTGCAGCGACCTTCGGAGCCTGCGCTCGGTTCATTGCCTTCTCGAGGCCATCAAAGCCCGGATTTGGGATCGCCGCCCCTGTGTCTTCCTGGCAGGAGCAGAGGACAGAAGGGTGCAGTCAAGCGGGTGGACCACGATGGGAAAGGTTTTGACAACACAAACATCCAAAAGATTGACAATCCTCAGTTCTGCTGCGCAGCTCCGACTCAGTCTGTTTCTCAGATCGGGTTCCACTTTCACGGGTCTGAACATGATACTCTCGAACGCCATCATACATATTTGTCCTGGGCAGCGATGCGTCCCTCATTCTAACTCGGATTGATGGCATCAAAAAAGCATCACGTGCATGACATACAGAACTAAATGACTAAATACCATGGCCTGCCTCACGAGCGTATCCGGGGCGGCTTCACAAACACGCTTTGCGCCAGCAATTCGGGCCCTGGAGGAACAGTGGTCTAACATCAAGTGACAATATGCATGCATGGATTCCATTGCAATCAAATGGAAACAATGAAACGAGTCAGTAGATCCAGATAATAAGCATCCCACGCACTCCACTTCAGACCTTGGGACATTTCATGCTCGCTGTACCATCCCTCCAAAATAGTAACTTCGATCACTTTGTCCTTTCGGACCGAAATCTCCACCTTCTTGATGAATACCTCCTGGTTTCTGAATGAATTCAACCAAGAAGATCCGTAAATCGGAATTTGTGAGATGCGATTGCAAATTCAGCACTTGTGCTGTCCTTGTCGAAGTTGACTTGCTTTAGCAGTTCGGCGAGGTTGTCCCGAACAGCCCTTCCACTATTCCATTGATCCTTCACAAACTGAGGAACATCCAAGTCACGACGTTTCTTCTTGGGTGCCACCATTCGGCGGATTCTGGCCAATGCGGCCTTGTGCAACAGAACCTTACTTAAACAAGATGCTCAAACATGTTTGAACTGCGAGTTTGATTCACAACAAAGTTCCAAAACATGTCCAAGCCATGAAACTTGTCGGGTTTTCTTCATGGACGTAAGAACAATGGGCTTCTTGGGTTTGGAATCTTTGGCGCCAGCG